TTTTTTTTAAATAACTTAAAAGACTAATCCATGACAAATCTTATTATAATAATAGAATGAAGGTCTTATTTGAAATTTGAATTTATTTTATAGTTCATTTTTAAATAAAACTAACTATGTTATGTTTATAGAAAGCTAAGACTCTACATATTGTTCCCTCAAACATCATAGTAAATAGCACAAACTCTGAAGATGCTTCTGACCAATATAGACTTAGGTCTTTAAAGGATAAGGGTTTACTTATTAGCTTTCTCGAAAATGTACTCAACTGGGTTTGAAAGTTTTGGTTTAAACATTTTAATAAGTGTAAATTAATATATATAATTCTTATATTTTTACAATAGCAGGATAAAATAAATCAGAAACTTACTATGCAAAGAATTATCTATAGTATTCATTCCCTACTAAGACATATTATAAAGCAAAGTATTGTGTTTAAGGTAAGTTGACATATAAGTGATGCCAAGTAAACACCTAGAATAGTAATTTTTTTAATTAATATTCTAGGTGTTACTCATTTTACTTTTTATTTGTAGATCTTATTTATTGTATTACTATGGTGCTAGAAGCCTATACTCAATGGTTACATAAAGTGTTTCAATTTTTTAAATGGCTATAACTTTTCTTCTAAGAGGTTTTAAAAAGATTCAACTGGTAACTTTATAGAGATATATTAACTTTACATATGTGCCAAAAATCTTTTCAAAATCTCATCACTGTAAAGAGTTGATGCATTTTAAAAATTGAAATTTTATATGTAAATTTATAAATTTACATATAGAATTTTAATTTTTAAAATGCATCAACTCTTTACAGTGATGAGATTTTGAAAAGATTTTTGGCACATATGTAGAGTTAATATATCTCTATAAAGTTACCAGTCAGATTTTTTTAAAACCTCTTAGAAGAAAAGTTATAGTCATTTAAAAAATTGAAACACTTTGTATAACCATTGAGTATAGGCTTCCAGCACCATAGTTATATTAATAATATTTTATTTAGATGTGATATTTACTACCCTTACTATTATTTAACTTTGGACTAGAAATATTGATGAGTAATAATGAAACAATCAATTTTGAAGATTTCTTGAATAGTATAACTTATTTATATTTCATTCATTCATTAAGATACTGTATACTTCAAAATGTTCTAACATATAATAGATTTGAATTTACTATTTTAGTTGATAAATAAAGAATGTATATCTATTAAACTTGCATTTATACTTTAGACAATAGATTTTAAAATATGGAAATAATTTTTTTAATGTTAATTTCATCTTACTTTAATGGAGTTAATAGAAATATATGTATAATAACTGTCTGAATTATAGATCGATAGTGTATTTCATATACAGTATAAAGCAAATACTGAAATTTTATAATTTAGATACAAGTTTTTATACTGAGAACATATTATGTAAACCAAATATTTTATAAAATTATATATATATTTGTTATATTAAGAGTATATTATGTAAATCAAATATTTTTATAAAACTATATAAAGTAATTATGGGTATTGTGGCAGATATGGGTATTGTGGCGGATCTGCTATAACTTATGACCCATCAGCCCAATCTAAACGATTTTTATACCATTCGAATCGTCTCATCGAGACGATTCGAATGGTATAAAAATTGTTTGATTTTGATCACTGGGTCATAAGATATCAGTGTTTGAATGGTTAAATTAAATTTTTTGAAAAAAAAACTAATACGTTATATTCGGACACTATTCTAACGCCAATATCTTGTGACCCAGTGATCGAAATTAAACGATTTTTATATCATTTGAATCGTCTCGATGAGACGATTCGAATGGTATAAAAATCGTTTAGATTGGACCGATAGGTCACAAGGTATTGCAAATTCCGCCACAATACCCTTATCCACCACAATACCCCTTCCAATTTCGTGTAACATACGTTTGTAAATAACTTGTGATCCTGTGATCCAAATTGAACAATTTTGTACCATTCGATTCGTCTCATCGAGACGAATCGAATGGTGCCAAAATCATTCAATTTGGACCAATAGATCCAGAGTTATGCCAAAATTCTCTTAACTCTACCACAATACCCATACTTACCTTATAAATTCATTATATCAAGAAAACTTGATAAATCGAAATATAGATATAACAAAGCAAAACCTCTAGCTCTAGAGCTTTGTTATATTGAGGTTATACTGTAATATTAATGCTTCAATATTATATTTTTTAGTTTTTTGTTTAATTTTATTTTCTATATATAGTCGACCTTCCAAAACTAATATATATAGTAGACAGGTTTTGTATTAGTTTTGGCAGATTATCAAATTTGAAAAATATTATATAAAAGATTGATCACATTAGCCAATCACATTGTAGGATTGAATGCATCAAAAAATTCTCAATCACTATATGACTATGAGTAAATTCATATATATATATATACTTAGCTAAGTGTAATGCATAATGTGTTGTTTCTAGTAAGTATTTAGTAAAATAGTAGTACATATTTGGATAGATATACTAATGCTAAATTTTGATCATAAATTTGTATAGTTAATGCGATGTTGGTATTGTTATATATATATAATATAAATCATGATTTTAATATATCCTAATTTGTGTACTACTTTAAATTAAAAAATATCGATATATGCAGCTTTTTAGTCACTTGATAATGCTTTTTCTATGGCAATACACGGGTGGCAATCAATTAATCACCAATCACTTCACTGACATAACATTTCACTGACAATTATTCACCGACACATTCATTTTACTGACAGTTTATTTCACCGAAGCTCATTTCACCAACAAAGTAATTCTGGTTATTGTCGTTAGGGTCAGGGTAGAATTAGGTAGAATTAGGGCTAAAGTTAGTGTGCTTTTTGAAAAAAAACTTGTCAGTGAAATGAACTTCGATAAAACAAATATCGGTAAAATAAACTCGTTGGTAAGTATTTGTCGGTAAAATGTTATGTCAGTGAAGTGATTGTTAGCAAAATAATACGAACCCCAATACACAAATAGTAAAGCCAATATTGCACAATTTTATAAATTGCTCTATTAAGCAGCTTATTATATACTGCCTAAACTCAGAAAAAAACAAAATCCAAATATATAGAAACTTGAAACTTAAATTATAGAATTAATAATAAATATCTAAATTTAGCTTAATCCTATAAAACAAAGTACAAGAATAGCATTGTATTTCCTAGATATGTATATACTATATGTTGAGATTGGTATTGAATACTCTTAAAGTCCAATCATTATAAATTTCAGTTTATAGCTTAGTAAAACAAGTTGATACAAATATTTAGCATTTTTAAAATAAGTGTAATAATAAATTATAGTGTGCTGGGTTTTTATGTTAAATATAACTATTTGCTTTCATATAAGTACTGCAAAGGGAAAAGAGTACCTCTATTTTTTAATCAATTATTGAATCAATAATTGATTAAAAAATGGAGATGCAAATAATAATAAAAAGACACAAAAGCAACTCTTCCCATAGATCACTTTACCAAATTAGAAACAAGAAGAAAAATCTTTCCTGCGACATTTTCTCTAATATTTATTAAATAACTTGATGTTCAACTTCTAAGTAAAGTTAACCAGTACTCCAAGAACAACCTAAAAGAGATACAATTTCTGCCAAAAGATCTCTCCTGGATAAGATACTAGCAATAAGCATGCTAAATAGCAAAAAAACAGTTTTTCGATCCTCTTACGAAAGCGGTCCCATGGACCCTCAGTTTCTAAATAACCTAAAACAAGCTACAGACAGCATACAAAGAAAAAACAGTAAGAAGCCACAAGTTTCACATCTCGATAAACCTTTAGACCACAACAAAGATATGGCCTCCGAAAGCTCCACCTTCATTAGTAATTATTTTTTTTGACCTTTGAAACCAGTGCAACCTAAAAATACTGATATTGCCAGCTTGCCCCAGCCCAGATACAGAACACACAAAAAACTTTTTAAACATCACTATCAAAGACTGGTCAAAACTCACATTCACTGTTAGCTTCTCTATCCCAGAGCATACTAACACATTCGTCTTCTTTATTGATATTACCAAATCTGAAAAAATCTCAAACCTGACCAACTATCCATCTTAATGGATCTACAACCACAAGGATCTCACCCAATCAGTCCTATTTAACCTCACAACACAAAAGAACAACACTGTAAACATTAGTGCCAAAACTCCCAAATCTACACGTAGTAGTGACCTTACAACAATAATCAATTCTTATGAAAGCAATATGAAACCCTACACAAAAGCTAAGAGTAACGCAGACTTACCCATGATCCTGTACAACTGTATTACAGACTTGGACTCTGATAACGAGTCAAACAAGAGCAATAATAAACAAGCTTATACAGTGTCACAGAGTTTACCAACACTCCATGAACTACTAGACTTTTACTATCGGTCTTCACTCACTTGGCTACTATATATGATGACTGGAGTATCATACCAGATACTACCACCAATATTCTATTCACACAGTTTATTCACTAAGAATCAAAGCTCTGTCTCGTATCTCCCCCTTTGGATCGATACCTTATTTATTTATTACTAATATACATTTGCATCACTAATTATTACAGACTTTCTTATCATTCATGCATTAACATTTTAGACTTTTAATTAAGTCGTAATCACCCGATTCATATATTATGCATTAATCAGATCACCGACATTCGATCAACACGTACCCGATCAATCGCATGGGTACCTTGTAGCACCGCGACACAAGCTAGAACTCCAGTAACTTCATCTCCAAAGTTACAATAACTCGGTCTATCCCACCAAATTTCCCCATTTCCAAATGATTATCAAATACTGCTCTAATCAATTTCTCTGAACTATACCCGGCTATTTGATCTAAATACAATCGTTTGAGAAACTTGATCTTTTCACCATTACATGACATAGAGTGACTCCAATTCACTTTTTGATCTACAATCGCTGCAACACCATACATCCTGGTCGATCAGTGTTCTGACTTTCGTAACCATGCAGTATCCCTAATCCAATTATTCATAAACCTCATATGCCTCATCCATTGCTTTATAAGAGAATTATGGCAGTTGTTATTTAAAGACCTGTTTTCATCATTCACAACTCCACTATCAGTTCTAACTCTACAATCTGAGCTAGATCCTCCAAATTTGATGACCTTTTCATCATTGTTGTTTTGGTACTCCTTGATCACATTATTCTCATTGTTCGCATCATTAATATCATATTTAGTTTTTGTCAACGATTCCAGTAAATTCCTCATCATCGTATCCATTTTTGTAACTTCGTCCAATGGTGCTCCTATCACTACTACCAGTTCCTGGTAATAATTTCCAACTTCAATCATTCTATCAGCATTATCTATGTTAGTGAATCGGTGTGAACTTTCTAATGTTTCTTCCTTATTATCATCAATTTTCGCAGAATCAACTTCCATAGCAGACTTATGATTATAAGTTAATATGCTGCAACCATCCATCTCAAACGATTTTTGATAATCAATGAATGCTTTACGTTCATCCTTTTCAGCATCAATTCCTCTAGCTTTCAGTTTATATGATTCAGCATTTTTATTATTAGATTTCACAAGTATGGTGTTATACCTTTCATTTTTCACCTGATTTGACTTTCTTTTGTCTGACACATTAACGTTCCTATTCTTCTTCCCTTTATTATCGATACCGTCATATTTCATCAATCTACTTTTAATGCACCTTACATTGACATTATCATTCCTCATTGCAATTAATATACATCTAACATCTGCGATATTACTTTTTCTTCTACCATTATTCTCTTTCATCACATAATACTCGTCATCGATGGTTTCATCAATTTTGGATTCTTGTGAGATCACAAACATGGTTTCATCATTATCAGATCGAACCAAACAACAACATTTTCCATCTCTCCACTCAAAACCACATCTTGTTTTCACGATCTACAGCATACCAAGAATGACATCAGAAGCTAATTTATGCTTCACATAAAACTCTTGAACCACTTCAACACTATCTACATCAATTTCAACACTGGAAACACATCCAACAACTTTATCATCTTCATTCAAATGTTTCCAGGTAATCCCTATGCTTCTCGCATATCTCACGCTCCTTAAATTCAAAGATGAACTGAGCCTAATTGATGCTTTTGTAAATCTTTTGTTTACCTTCACAATCTTTCCTAATGTCCTATTATTTTCATTATTTTTACCATCACCTATTCGTCCCATCTTAACCTTTCCCCTTCGTTTCAAACCTTCACAATCTTTCCTTCCAACTTCTATATGACAAATGTCCATGACCTTATTATTTAAACTTCGATCATGACCTTGATCTCTCATAGACGGATATGAACGAGCCAAGTGCCCTTTATGTCGACACAAGTAACACAAACGCAATCCACGTTTTCGTTGTTTCTTTGAAACCTATTCAGGTTTTGTACAACCTTTCTAACTACCGTTTCTACGATATCTTTTACCAACATTACTAAGTACTCTTCACATTTCATCTTCAACTCCAATTCCGTTAAACTGCGTTTAGCTTGCCACCAAGACACCTTAAATTTACCAATTACGATTGGTATAATCTTCTTGATCTTGCACTTAGCAAGTATGACAATCTTCAACAAGTTTCTGCGAGTAGAATCTTCACCTACCCAGATCCTTTATGTCATGGAGTTTACCAACACTCCGTGAACTACTAGACTTTTACTATTGGTCTTCACTCGCTTGGCTACTATATATGATGACTGGATTATCGTACCAGATACTATCACCAATATTCTATTCACACAGATAACACAGTTTATTCATTAAAAATCGAAGCTCTGTCTCGTATCTCCCCCTTTAGATCGATACCTTATTTATTTATTACTAATATACATTTGCGTTACTAATTATTGCAGACTTTCTTATTATTCATGCATCAACATTTTAGACTTTTAATTAAGTCGTGATCACCCGATTCATATATTATGTATTAATCAAATCACTGACATTCGATCAACACGTACCTGATCAATCACATGGGTACCTCATAGTACCGCGACACACAGCAATTTTCACAAAGCTCAACTCCTCACAAGATCCCATCACAGAACATACAAACACTAACACAGGCACTAGTAACACTAATGTGGTACCACCTACAAACGAACTTCCTAACACCAATCCCTCAAACAGCTCTAACATTAATACTACCAAGATTATCACACCCAGACCTAGCACACCCACTCAGGAAATCACACAATTAGTACTCACTACACCTACCTCTAACCCTACCCTCACAGATGTTACATCCTACCCTAGCTCAACCCACAAAAGGCCCAGAAATCTGGCCAATATCTCACCACTTAACACAACTGCCAACAAAGCCACTAAAGCCATAGTAGGCAGTGCATCTACACCAGTTAGAATACAAGTAGACAGAGTGATAACCATAAAACCTACTTATAGCCAAATCACTAAAACCAACCTCAATCTTCTCACCACCAATGCTCCAGAAGATGACATGGAATAGGCCTCAGAAGTACACTTTAAGATTACCGGATACGTGTTATTTCACCGACAATCACTTCACAGACAACTTAGTTCACCGACAATCAATTCACAGACAAGTTCATTTCACCGACAATTATTTCACTGACAGCTCATTTCACTGACAAGTATTTTTTATAAATTACACTAACCTTAGCTCTAATTCTAACCTGACACTAACAACAATGACCAGAATTATTTTGTCAGCGAAATGTTGTTGGTGAAATAATTGTTGGTGAAATGAACTTGTCAGTTAATTAATTGTTGGTGAACTAAGCTGTCTGTAAAGTGATTGTTAGTGAAATGCGCACTACCCAAGATTACCACACCCATCAATGCCCCCTTTGACACAAATCTTTGGTCATATGATGCAATTGCAAAAGCTCTTGAGACCCCAGAAGGTATCTATGTCCTCACCAGCTACAAGCTAACTACTCATAACACGAAACATAAACTACCAGAGGCAATTGCTCTCATGTTTACTCACCAGAACACTAGATTCTTCACCACCTTTACATGTAACCCCAGAACTACTTTGGCACACCAAAAAGAATATACAAACCTCTTTAATACTGCTCTCACAACATATAAAAAAGATAATGAGATTACACTTACCAATACCACAACCAGTAACACTATCCACTCTATGCTTAAGAAGATGCTTATCTCACAATGCCTTTCAAATATCAACTTCTCCAAAACAACACACATACAAATCTACAAAGCCATCCAATATGCAAGAGAATCTTGCAAATCTAAAATACTAGTGAAGAAATCTCAAAGAGATTAGAGCCCAAATCACTAATGCTCTTAAAAATAAGCTTATACCATTACCTGACACACCCATACAAATTCCCAGTGAAATTCTGAAGATTCAACTGTTCAAACTCTCTATTACACAGCGATCACACACTAGAGCTATACTAAATGCTTTAAGAAGAATCTTTAAATTCTCGGAACTCTCAGAAACATACTTTGCAAAACTTCCTCCACTTCCTCCCCACTATAATGGCCTCACAGAGCCTTCGCCAACTATTCCCAATCTCTCACCGATCCTCCCTTCAACACCTAGCTGCATGCAAAAGAAAACTTGCAGATTTTTACACCATCACCAAAATTCCAGATGCCTATTTCGACTTGCCACCCCCAAAAAACCATTACCCACTACCTATCAAGAGTTTAACCACAAAGTGCACAAGTTCTTTCCATTCAACTAAGCCACCTCTACTATCTCACTTGCCGAAGTTGTTTTCTAGCTCAGAGAATATTACATCCTTAAGCTGTTCCCTAATGACTTTTTCACCACCAAACAACTGCTTCCAAAGGATATAAGCAAGATTAAAACCACATCCCTATTCACTGCCCTATTACTGAGGATGCTGAGACAAGAGAGTTTGTCAAACAAGTTTCTCCCTACTACTGAATCCTATTCCCAATTCCAGCAAAAATTATACAAGCCAACCCAACCAACAAACCCACTCTGCCAACTACAGAAGAAATCACCGAACACCTTAACATTTCTATCCTTATTACAACCCCACAGCAACTTACAACTACAGTCAAGTTCCTTTGTAAATACTACTACTTTGCCCAGCTCCCATCTGAATAGATCCATATTGAGAGTAGCATCCCCACCCCAGTAGTAGAAACCAACCCAGCCACAAAGCAAGCTCTCCCTAATATCTCTAACAATATAGAGGAAATTATCAATACTCTCTCCAAACAAGAAATTAGCATCTCTCTTCCAATACAAAACCAACTAGATATTACTTTTACAATGAAAAAATCTTAAGACAATTCTACACAATTAAGAAAATCTCTGACTCTCAACTAGATCTTCCCCTACTCCCTACCCCAAATTGGAGTATCTTTAACAGTACATCTATAATTTCATGTTCAAACACCCCCAGCACAGTCATGTCTTATGCCAGTATTGTACCAATACCAGAGGACCCCTCACATGACCCAATACCCACTGAAGAGCCTAACACCACAGTAGCAGATGCCTCCACCAAAAAAGCCTCATCTACTGACAACAACACCTCTCCACTAGACAAACCAACTCCAATAGATACTAATGAACACACTAATAAGTAATTTCTATAATACACACACCTCTACAACGTTTTAACCTAACACAAACAATACACAAAACTGTAACACTTCCCAAGTTAATACACCTCAACCAGCACTACTCCACCCACTAACCTTTTCCATCTGTACTTACAATGTACAAGGCCTTAATACAAATACCAAAAAAGAGACCTGAGAACACTATTGTTTACAACAGGATTTAGATATTGTCTGCATTTTTGAAACCAAAATATCAGACAAAACAATTACTCAAAAGTGCCTCAAGATCCAGCACTATACCTATCTCTGGTCCTGTACAAACAGCTCTAAAGCAGGAACAGCCATTATAGTCTATAACACCCTTACTCCACATATTTATAGCATCCATACTGTGCTAAGATATGCTATTGCCATTGATCTCTTCTTCAAGCATGACTTCAAATTTCAGATTATTTCACTCTATCTTTCTAGCAATGATGCACAACTCCGACTGCAGACCCAAAACACTATCATCCAGTAGTTGCAACAAGCCAAAGCACTAAATATTGCTCCAATAACCCTAAGAGACTTCAATGCATCTACAGAAAATATCCACTCTTAATCAATTAAATTCAAACTTCTCCAGCACCTTACATTTAACAACATGTATAATCTAGCCTTACACTCTCACAAATCTGCACCTACATGGCACAGAGCCAACCTTAGCAGCAAAATCGACTTCATCTGGGCTTACCAACCAATCCTTCAATATCTCACTGACTATGATACAGATGACTCCAGCACTTGTACCCAAAGTGACTTCAAAATCCTCATCTCCTTTTGGCTCTGCCTTCATGCAACAGTAGAATAATGAAGACACAAAACACGCACTTGCAAATGAGTCTTTGATTATAAGGCAATGACCCCTGATACATGGGAGAATTTTACAAACCAAGTCAGCATGAATCTACAACAACACAACACACCTCTCACAACTACAACTTCAGAGTTTCTTGAAACTACATGGCACAAAATTCAAACCAGTCTTATTATAGCTGCATTCCAGCATATTCCCAACAAAAAGTTTGCAGTATGCAACTTCTACTATACATTTTCATCCAAGGCAACCCAGCTCCATCACAGTCTCAAAAAGCTCAGAAACATAATTAGAACAGTAAAACATTTAACAAAGTCTAACCAACAGATTCTACCACACTTACATATGACTATTGATGAGCTTAACAGACTACACAATCTGGAGATACTCTCTTATATAACCAACACTAACTGGATAGCAAAAGCAAATACTGAGTGGAAGAAGCTATACCACTCACATAGCCTGGAAAACATCAAACAAACATGACATCAAATTACTAAAGCAATTTCCAAAAGATGCACCAAACTCCAAACCAACTCAACCTCAATAATTAACAGCATTCTAAATTGGCACAAAGACCCTGTAAAATTTGACAACATTAAACTAAACCAAGATGTTATTACAGATCCCACTACTATCAAGGCACATATCCAACAGCACTTCAACAACTAGACTGCTACTCGTCTAATTAATGGTATATTATTTAATACAGAGTAGCAAACAGAATACAACTCCAAACCTCATATTCAGCCAGACTGGTACCAAGAAGCACTTTTTACCTTCACCCAGGAGGAGATACTTACTACACTCAGTTAACTACCCAACAACAAAGCGTGTGGCTCCTCAGAAATAAGCTACAAGATGCTAAAACATGCTG